TTATGAGAAATAATATGTTTAGTTCAGTGTAATAAAATTAGTGATTTTTTTCATCACTGTTATGATTTTTTATTGTAAACCCCTATTATTTTCCAAAAAACCGTACGTGATAGGGGGAAATTGAGGTAATTTTTGGATTCAGCATCCTAGAAAACATAAAGTTTACCAAAAATATTCCATTCAGCTGAAAAAAAATATTTTTGCAGACCTGTGTTATCTTTACGAATTTGTCTGGCAGTGTCAGAACATCGTGGCCGAAGAGAAATAGCAGGAGCTGGTTACAAAGGAACTTAGGCCTATTTTGCCAAGCATTTCTCGCAGTTTGAGCCGCGATAACTCAGTATAGCCACCAGCTACAGGCTGGATGGCCGGGGTTCGATATCCGGTAGTGATAAGAGATTTTCCTCTACGCCATAAAGCCGAGACCGACTCTAGGGCACACCCAGCATCCTATCCAGTGGGTAACGGGGTCGCTTTCCCTGAGGGTAAAACGGTCGGGTCGAGAAGCTGACCATTATCCAACATGTAGTGCCGAGGTCAAGAATGGTGGAACTATACCTCCGCTCCCACATATGCCTTAATTCCATAGAGCTTAATTGATTAAGCACAGAGTCTTTACTTTAACTCATTCTTGCAGCTTTCTTTATGTTCATTTACTAGGCACTTTGTTGAACTAACTGCATGCAATATAATCTGTCTTGAGAAATTATATAGTTAACAATATAAAATCAAAATGTATACATAAAGAGTGTTCTTTGCTTGGTCAGCTTATACAGCAGTCTTTTGGTCTCAACATTTAGTTCTTCCAGTCCATCTAGACTGTAATGCTGCTAATGTATTCTGGCGAAATTTAGTTGCCTCATTCTGTATATTTGGTTGGTTCGATTTGGTTCGTGATGATTTAATCTTAACATGAAAACTGTTCCAGCATTTGATCCCGAACACAGCAGTTGAGAGGGTGGTATTGATACTTCGCATAATAGACCTCTCATGTTCTATTGTCGAGGGTGAGAATCTATTCATCTCTGATTTTAATCTTCATATTTGACGGGTTTAAACCTGTACAGCAGAGATGTCATGTATTTGAATGTAATATTCTTTCATCCGCGTCCTGTGGTCCGCAAGCGAGCTATACCGACCGAGCGACCGCCACTTGTCGGTGAAGTTAGTGCCAACTTCAGCGGATAGAGAGTGTCGCGTGGTAAGCACAACGGATCCCCACGGTAGTTAATCTCGGTTCTCTAGACCGGAGCCGCGATTTCCTTGAACTAGCTCCTCAATTATCTTCACGAGGTTGAGTGGAACCCGTTCCAGGCGCACTACTTCTCAGAACATCTGGTAGCCCGGGAATCGAACCAGAGACCTCTGGATCTGTAGCCAGGAACTCTGACCACTAGACCACAGAGACGGTCTTATACTATCAGTAAATTGTAAAAAGGTGAAGACCCTGTGTTTAATTAACTAAGCACTATGCCATGGAGAGATATGGGGGGAGTGGAGGTATAGTTGCACATTTCTTGACGTCGACACTAAATGAAGGTCATCTGAGCGTCCTGGCTGCTTTACCCTCGGGGGAAGAGCTGGTCTGGACGCTATGGAAAAGAGTAAAATCTTGCCCCTTCCGGGAATTGAACCCCGGCCTCCAACCCGTATCCCGTCGATATAATGACCGAGCTTATGGTCGATATTATTAGTATATATTTTATATTCTTAGTTGCCTCTTTATCTTGATAATTAATTAAAATGTGTTATTTCGTACATGTTTATATTGCACAATGACATTGTTGTCTTGGTTTATCTGAAATGGCTCTGCTCCTAGAGCCTGTGGCGTCCATTACTCTTTCTTCCAGCTTGCAGCATTGCTAACCTTATCCTGTAACTAATGCGCATCTTTCCATGTCGGAAGCTAACATTTTGTCGCCGCCTGTACTTAACCGAACTTTCTTTTCTGGTGGTTTCTCTTGCTCACATACCATAGTGTCGTGACCCTTACATGCCCATCTAATGTATATACATCTCGCGTTTGCGTCCTGCTGCACCTGTAAGTCCTACTTACCGAACCACGGTGACGCTGTAGCCTGTTCGGATCTCGGTCGACATATTTGCTGTGTTCGTATTCTTCCTCAGACACCCCACGTTAGTTCCAGGATACTCCCAACAAAAAGGTCACGCCTCCTACTTTCAAATCCTTACTTTTGCCTCATATCCAGGGGGTAGCGGGGGCTATTTCACCGAGAGTAAAGCGACCTGGGCGTGAAGCTGACCACTCATCTCCAGCTGGTGCCGAGGTCAAGAAAACTTGGATCTATACATCCACTCTTCCATACGCCTTCATGGAGTAGTGCCAAATTAGTTAAGCACAGGGAAAACTTTATCTTTTACCGTTTGCATACTTGAGTATCATCTTCCCAATCCATTCTACGCTGTAGAATAATGACCAGGGCCCGGAGTTTGATGACCTGAAAATATTTAAAAAATGACCGAAAAAATCCAGAAAAATTACCTAAAGGAGAAAGAGAAAGAACACTTCGCTTCCATATTATTCACATTTCAGAAAACATATGAAGAAAAGTTCCCTGAAACGGCTAAAAATTACAAGAAATACCCTTAAAAGTCCAAAAACTTGCCAAATAATTACCCCAAAAATGAAAAAATGACCTTAAACCTAAAAATGTCAAAAAATGACAAAAAAATGCACATAAAATTTACATTTCTGTAACCAGCAGCTCATATCCGAGATTTACATATTTAAGAGCATCGCGTAGAATACACGGACAAAAAGATGACATGTCATCAAAATCCGGGCCCTGATAATGACTCTTTGTTAACAAAGATTTAATCATACACAAGTACTATTAAGTCCTATAAACACCATGCAATGAAGTTGTATATGGGGCATATGCCTTCCTCAGACCAAGAGAATGCAAGGCAATTATTTGGATCAGTCCTCTTGTACTGTGGAAGCTGAAAACGTCGGCATGGTTTTTGGACTATTTCTCTCGTAGCCGTTGTTACGCGGGAACCGAATATGCTCCAAATGAAGAACAGAATGGTGACGACGGTGACGACTGACCAGTTATATCCACCACTTGCCTCGTCTTCCATTCATTAGCCTTACTTTTATGTTTTCCTGCGTCTACCTCTCTTTGCTTCGATTTCTAACGTACTCTTGGCTGAGATGTACTGGGGGAGGTTTGTTAAGTGG